TTCCCACTACTGATGGGCAAACTGCCACCACTTCACTTCCTAACTGGCTCTGTCTTTCCAAGCTTTCTGGAGGAACTCTTGGGAAAAGTTCAGAAAGGCTATGAGCCAGTACAGTTCCCCTCTGGCTCACTGCTTTCACCAGCCACTCTGTTATCACAGATTCCCCTTTCTTCCCAAACGTATCTTGCAACAGGGAGAGAGAGGGGAACTAGCAATTAAGAGGGCTGATAGCTGAGGCATCCTTCTTACATTTTCAGGTACTCAGTGGATGCTCCCAAGTCTCCACTGCTGTGACAATTGTAATTTTCAGTGCATCCCAGCTCAGTCCATTGCCTGGAAGAGTCCATTGCTGCTGGGAACTCTAGTTTTCTATTTCTCTTGACTAAATAAATTCAGCAGGGAAAAACTGAGAAAGTTCCTGCGGCAATGAATGCTCCACTGTTGCAATCTGTATCCTCACCCAATCTCAACAGTAAGTGAGACAGTAGAGGTATGGCCATTACAAGTCGGGCCTGAACTCACTCTCTCTCTCTCTTATCTCTCTTTCTCTATCGCTGGACATGTGGCTCTGGCTGGCTCATAATGAGCTTTGAGGAGTGAAGGCCAGAGCTTGCCATTCCAAGCTCCCAGTTTTCTGCTACCATTGCTTCTGATTGCACTCTTTCAAACAGTAATCCTTCTCAGAAGCAAGAGATCTTCCTGTAAATCAACAGCAAATACAGAAGCAGTTCCAAGATTATCTGTAGTCTGCAATACTGCGTTATCTTGATTTTAGAATAGGGCAACTCAGCGTCCCAAGGAAGAAGTGCAACATCTTTCACCTTTTACAATATTAAGTCTCTCCCCAGGTTTCCTGTTAATAGGATTCCTTTAGCCGGCAGACGGATTGTGAATACAGGCGGTTTCATCTACTAAAAGACAACATAAATCATCATTGAGAAAGGGGAGCCTGCAGTAAGGTTATCACCATACAGCCTTCCCCATGAAAGGTTTGCATTAAAGCATTAGTGAAATTAATTCATCTTTCACAAGAGCTTTGAGCAGTATCGGTGATCTATGATAACAACCAATTTCTCACCGAGGGGGGGGGGGCAAAATTACTCAGCCCTGATAGACTACACAAATCTGCTTTTTAAAAATGACCTAACATTATCTGGAGTGTTGCTCCCAAAGGCATCGTTTGAGATTCATGCCCAGCCAAGAGGACCCATAAATCAGTAGAGAAAGTTTTGTTACTTTTATATGCAGTGGGCTGTAATTATTTTGAATTGCATTATGCCTCAATCATTGTAATTACTTTTAGATCATCCTTAAGCGGCAGTAATAAAAAGAAAAGGAAATCAGTCTTAAACTAAGGGCAAACCCTCCTCCCACTCCCCCCCAAATAATGTAAATTTTACATTAAAAATCTGGTTTAAATGCACGCAACCAAGCAGATGTAAATTCTGCTGACTCAGCATACAAAAGTGCCACTGTTTGTACAAGTTACTGAGGTTGGTTTCATTTCATCACAAACATTTAAGCAGAGCCAAGTAGGCTGATGTGGAGATTGGCATGTGCTTTTTTGAGCTCGAAATCTATTTTAAATGAAGAATAATCAAGTGCCTAATTTACTTTAATCAGAAACTATTAATCCCAAAATTTGCAAAGCAAAATAAACTTGTGCTTTCTCATCTGTGCACTTTGTTGTTTGTTTGTTCTAACTACATGTCTTTATATGTCTTCATACATTTTAGCCAAAAACGGTGCCCAAAAAGACTAATAAGTGAATAAATGAAGTTGCCTGATAGAGCCAGACTTTTGCTTTACCATCATGGACGGTGTTGTCTACTCTGACTGGCAGCGGCCCTCCAGGGTTCCAGGTAGAAGTCATTCACATCACCTGTACCTGCTCCTTTTGTTTAACTGGAGATACCAGGGACTGAACCTGGGACCTTCTTCAGGTAAAGCAGAAGCTCTATCTTTGACACATGGACCCTTTCTTAAAATCAAGAATCAAAGTTTAAAAAACCCTTTTTACTTGAAATGACTGGAAGTATAGTAGAGGCTCATTTTTTTCAAAGACATTGATGATGATGATGAAGAAGAAGAAGAAGAAGAGGAGGAGGAGGAGGAGGAGGAGGAGATTGGATTTATACCTCGCCCTTCACTACCCGAAGGAGAATGAAGATCCTTCAGCCAGAAGAAGAAGAAGAGGAGAAGGAGGAGATTGGATTTATACTCTGCCCTTCACTACCCAAAGGAGTCTCAGAGGAGCTGACAAACTCCTTTTCCTTCCCCTCCCCACAACAGATACCCTGTGAGGGGCTGAGAAAGCTCTGACAGAAACTGCTCTTTTTCAAGAACAGCTGTGCCAGGACTATGGCTTGCCCAAGGTCATCCAGCAGGTGCAAGTGGAGGAGTGAGGAATCAAACCTGGTTCTCCCAGATTAGAGTCCGCGCACTTAACCACTACACCAAACTGGCTCCTGAGGGACAGACAGGCTAGCCATGCTAGTTTGTTGCTAAACAGGAGTCTTCTGGCAACTCAAAGAGTAACTTTATCCATGGATTCTTCTGCTAAAATAAAAGCTTATGGTAAAGTAAAAAATATTTAAAGTGCCACCGAACTCTACTTTGATGTAACCAAAATAGGGAGCGCTAAACCTTCTAGGAGTGGGAAAGAAGCCATAAGTAGTAAGGTACCACTTCTACTTTACAGCTTCATGTAGTCACCTTACTACTTACGGCTTCTTTCCCACTCCTAGAAGGTTTAGAGCTCCCTATTTTGGTTACATCAAAAGTTGGAAAGTGCGCGGACTTTCCAGTTGAAAAGTGCACTTCTACTTTACAGCTTCATGTGGTCCACTTTCAATGCACTTTCCAACTGGATTTTGCCAGTTCACACAATAAAATCCACTTGGAAAGTGCACTGAAAGTGGGTTGAAAGTGGATTATTTAGTGTGTGTGACCGCAGCCTAAGTCTCACCTGGGCCAAAATAACCTCAGCAACATCTTCACCCTCCTGTGTTGAATCAGTCATCACAACGTTCTCTTCAGGTCAACAACTTCCATAACAAACTAGTCTTCACTAATTTCCTGCGTTCTCTTACTGAGCCCTCAGCTCTTCCCCTATCCCCATCTCAGGTTCTGCCTAGGTTTTAGACCATGGCTGTCTCCATTCCTATTTCTGGACAGATTCAGTTTGGCCAGCCTTTCCACAATCCCTCCCCTAGGGTTGCCAGGCTCCAGGTGGGGCCTGGAGACCTCCAGCTTTTACAACTGATCTCCAGCTGACAGAGATCAGTTCCCGTGGAGAAAATGGCTGCTTTGAAGGGTGGTCTCTATGGCACGGTATCCCACTGAGGTCCCTCCCTTCCTCAACCCCCAGTCCCTCCTGGATCTACCCCCAAAGTCTCCAGGTATCTTCCACCCCAGAGCTGGTAACTCTCCCCTCCCCTCCAGCTTAATATTAACTAATATTAACCCTGATCTTGTCCTTCCTTTGCCAGAACGTTTTATATTCCCTTTGGAAACACTCAAGCTGCAAAAAGACACTGGTCCTAATCCACTGTGTGATTCCTGCCAAATTCATTTAACTGTGCATTGGATCACCTGATTGACAATGGGTGTACTAGCAATCATGCGTGAAGAAAACTGTAGTTCTGAGAGAAATGGTTAGACGCAAAAGTTGGACCCCAGACAATCCACTGGAGGGATTATAGCAATTTACAACTCCACATTTCAAGAACTACTCCAACTTGGTTACTTATGCAGCAAATAATACCAGAATCAAGCCCTTTGGGGGCCTCTGGAATCTCTGCTTCTCTAAACGTACCTCAGGGAAATAATCCTGTGGAAACTTTTCTTTTTCCAGCATAGGTGTACTTTCTAAAGTATCGGAGTAGATTTCTTTTCCCGTCACTTTTTTGTACTTCTTAGCTAGGAAGAAAGAAGAACATTTTAGTAAAGTAACTGTCATTATATTTGTGCACACGCATATTAATAACAACAAAAGTTAAACAGTTCTGCCCAGTAGAAATATGTAGTTGAAGCTCACATTGTGAGAACTATCCATGGAAAAAGAATTCTTGTTTTCTATTTATACAGTTTTGAGATAAACAGCTGTCACAACAAAATTCTTATACTAAGATGCAAAAGATGGTACATACCTGATGCACACATGTACTGTACCTAGAATATAGGGCCTGTAAAACGGAGCTGTTCCGCCAGGCTTTCAGCTGAGGCAGGGGACGTTCCACCGTTCTGGCTTCCCCTGTTCACGGCCTGTAAAACGGAGATACTATTTGGGCAGTGGAGTTTCCTGGGTTACCTATTTCTGCCTGACATGAGGCATGGGTTTTTGTTACTGTCTATTGTGCCATCTATTGTTTTATGGTTCTATTGTTTTTACTGTTATGGGTTTTACACTGTAAGCTGTCCAGAGCCCACTCGTGGGATAGGGTGGGATAGAAAATAAATAAATAAATAAATAAATAAATAAATAAATAAAATGTATTACAACATCTTGCTAGATTATCACACTGATTTATAGCACGTTTACTCTGCCCTGCCCATGACTCAGCCTGAGGCACCACAAAATGTAGAATACTTGGGTATAAATAGAGATGGAACCCAGGTAAGGAGGGCATACTCCTCCTTTTAATTGGACACCTCCATAGATCCATTAGGTTTTAACTCCCTGTCTGTCTCAAGTTCTCTGGCACTACTTCTTCCTTAGGGCTGCCAACCTCCAGGTGGTGGATGAAGATTACAACTGATCTCCAGGCAACAGAGATCACTTCACCTCGAGAAAATGTTCACTTTGGAAGATAGACTCTATGGCATTATACCTCATTGAACTCCCTCCCCTCCCCAAACACCGTTCTCCTCAGACTTCACCCCCAAAATATTCAGGTATTTCCCAAACCAGAGCTGGCAACCCTACCTTCTTCCATTGCCTATTCATGATGCCCTCTCTTCTTACCAAAATGTGTGTTCTTTTTCTGGTGGAGCGTAAGAAATATGTGCCAATGGCTTTTCTGAAAAATGAAGCCCATGAAGGTGGTTGCTTTAAGGTTTCTTCATTACTTCACTAAGCTTAGCTTAATGTAGTGTGGTCCCTTACTTGTCTCCTTTTCTCAGCTTCAAACTTGGTATGAGGGCAGAAGGAATAACTTTCTGAAGTATTTTCTGTAGTAGTACCCCCGTTCTGGAACTTTCTCCTTGCAACTGTTTATCTGCTACCAAATCTGTTCAGTTTTGATTTTCAGGTACTAGGCAGAATATTTTTCTCACAGACTTTCTGGCTTCAGTCCTAAGGACACTTTCTTGGGAGTAAGCCCCTGGGGACAATATGGAACTTACTCTGAATAGACCTGCTCAGGATTGCCCCCAATTGGTTCCCCCCCCATCTCTTTACCCACTCTCCTTTTATTAGCTTTCTGGTTGCTACCAGCTTTGAGGAAATGGCTTTTAAAAAAAGGTTTTGATGCTGCATATATTTGGTTTGGATTTTATGACTCCTGATAGATTGTTTTACTGTACTCCTATTTTCTGCTGTTTTCATTTTTTTTAATTGTAAAATTGCTAGTATTTCTATCATAAATCCAGAAGCTGCCTCAGGATATTTTTTTTTTTAAAAATGAAATATATGGGGTGTTCATTGTTCTGGTTTAGAATTTGTGTGAGCTCGAGATTAAACAAGTTAAAAAGTGAGAATTTTTAAAATTATTAAACTACAAGTGTGCCCTTCAAACTTTATTTGCCAACCTGGTCTTTTTGCATGTGGTAGGGTGAAGGTTGAATTTGGCTTGAAGGCCATTGGGTGCAAAATGTAGACATAGCACTAAACCTGAGTACATATATTGTACATCCACAATCCACTTGATTAAGAATAAGCATATTATTGCTCAGCATCCAGGTAGACAGACAAGTTAATTGCTCATTAAAGGTTGCCATATCAGTGCTGCAATTTACATTGGTCTCTTTAAGGAATAAAATGTACTATGATGAGTATTTGACATTAAGACTTAGGTTTTACTTGAACATCCAAAAATGATGACTTAGAAGGATTTATGGTAGTTAAACCATGAAATGCAATACTCAGAAAACTGCTATTCAAATCCTTCACTAAAGTAAGACCTCCATACCCTCAATTACAAGAAAGGGGGCAATCTATCTTGGGTGAGAACAAGAATAATGAAAGTGAACAATGGAGACAATTAGTTCACACACCGTTTCAATGATGTTTCATATAAATGCAGCGCAAAGATGGAGAATAATGTGACCTGTCTCAATAAGCTAAATGAAGCTTATAAAATTTTGTATTGGAATTTGTACAGATGTCTCTCACAACTAAAAAAGAGAGAGGACTTTTAACACAATCTAACTTCTTTTATACACTGTAAAAAGCATACTGTAAACCTTCTAATTAACTCGAGAATATGTGGTTATATAGGCAAAGTATATCGAAAAAGTAAGAAAAATGAAATCTGGCCTTTATTAGAATCCTTCCTTTTATATGCAGCAAGTGTGATTATAGCCAAAGTTTGAATTATATAATACAGTAATGCACAAAGTTGGCTTGGAATGCTGAATCTTTCTTAACCTATTCTGAACAGTGTCTTGGGTCCACTGGTAATTTCTGCAAACAGAAGAGATTTTCATCCCTGGAGTGCAATTTCCTTGCCTCCCCCTCCAGCCCAGAATGTACATCCACTCTACACTGGGGGACAGACCCCCAGGAATAGAGGTCTGCAATGGGAGAGAGAAATCAGCAAAAATTGTCCATGGAAATCTTCTGTTGGATCCATACCATTGCCATCATTGTAACCAGCTTTAATACATGTTCTAGTGTCCACAGCATTTGCTTTCTTCGATTTTTTTGCACTCTTTAACAATAGGGATAAGAGAGGTACCCAAGCTCCATTTATTCTCCCCACACACTGGGGCTAAAAGTGGGTGGATTTTTTATTAGCGGTGCATTTATGTCCTTGCCACTTTTCCCAAGTACCATATCCCCAATTTATACTTCCCCTTTTGCAGCTGCCATAAAACTCGTCAAGGGTATTGAATATGACACTCCAGTGTTGCTCAGTGGTAGAGTATCTGCTTGGCATGCAGAATGTCCCAGGTTTAATCCCTGGAATCTCCTATCAAAAAGGTCAGGCAGTAGGTGATATGAGATCCTGGAGAGGTGCTGACAATCTGAGTAGACCAATACTGACTGAGTCGGTACAAGGCAGCTTCATATATGTACAACACCATGTGTAATCTGACCCTTTGAGACTTTTCACACATCACATTTTTAGGTTTACATCTAAGATCCAACAGATAGCTTCGATTAGTAGTGGCTCCATAAGTACAGTCTGTGTAACAGGCAAAAGGGTTCTGAAGAAACTAGATGTGGTGATGCCAACAAGACGACAGCCAAGCATTCTTAAGCCTTGACATTTAGTGGCTTCCGCTTATATTTACCTTTAAAGTCAAATTGGAAAATGTTTTTCAAGGATTCATGGAGAAAGTAAAAGCTTCCCAGTGCCTGAAACAAACAAACAAAAAAGGTACAATTTAAAGAGACTGCTATCAAAAACATTAAACCTGAACTAATGGTGTTCAGTAAGCAGAATTAACTAACTTGAATTCAATAAATTCTTAATTTCCTTTGATGTTTAAAGGGAATATTATCTATCAAAACCAATTTATTGCTAAAGACACATTATTTATTCTTAATTTAGAATACGTATACACTGTCTCTCCAGACACCTACTCAAGGCAGATCACAAAGTGAAAACAGTACAACAGAAAGAATAAAACTACAAGCACACACACACACAAATCAGTATTAAAACCAGAAACAAAACAAGCAAGGCACCTGAGTACAGTGGGATTCAAAATAGTTTTGTAAATGGCCATCCTGATCTTGTCTGAAGGTCCAAGAAAAAAAGTGCAGGAAAATTTAGTCCACCCCCATTTTTTCCAAAGACTTTCCTCCAGTTTTTCCAATGGACAAACAAAATTTGGGAAGCAATGAAATAAAAAGCTCCTATGAATTCAATATTTTTTTAAAATGGCAAAATGTTATCCAGAATCTGTAATACGATTTTTATGTAAGACAATGTACAGTACAAGTGGGGAGACTGTGAGACTCATGTGAGGGGAATCCCACTAGGCTTCCCAAGTCCCCCCCGGGGGGCGGGGAAACCTCCGCCCCAGAGGCCCGTTCCCTGCCGCCGGCGAATTGGACCCCGGGGGGAACCCCACCCCGGCATGTGCATCACCAGGAAGTGACGTTATGACGCCGGGCACGCTGGGGGTGGGGCCACGGTCATCTGAGGGAAAACTCTATGGTTTTCCCTCGGATGGTCGTGGCCCCGCCCCCAGTGTGCCCGACGTCATAATGTCACTTCCTGGTGACGTGCGTGCGGCACGTGCACACTCCAGCCGCAGACCAGGAGTCCCCTGGTAAGTAGCTTTTTTGACTTGGCAACCCTAAATCCCACCCACCCCATCATCAAGCATGGCGCAACTCCAGGCCCCACCACCAACTTTTGAGCCTAGCTGCTCTCCTGGAACAGCTCCTGGAATCTGCTGTCGCTACAGTCAAGCCTGAAGCAGCTCCCAGCATCCCCTGTGGCAGGGCCTGGAGCAACTCCCAGCTTCACCCACTGTCATGGGAGGGCCTGAAGCAGCTCCTGTAGTCTGCTGCCATCAGCTCTGAAGAAGAAAGGTAAGTGCGTCGTCTATGCATGCACAGACAAAACTTTTATTCTGGGGAGAATTTAAATACCTAATGTATTTTTTAAAAGATTTCAGAGTTTTCTGCAAGCCTGGGGGGTGTCCTCAGATTTGCAGGAAAATCTATTTAGTGTTGGTGTGGCACTGATGTGCAGATTTAGATATCCACAGATGGGGGACTACACATCGCTATTAGATATAGCGTATGAGGATGTATGAGGACTTGTGGAGAGGGGAAATCCTATCCCCCATATTGCCCCCCACATCCTCTCCTCTTACTCACCACAACTCTCCTGTTGCCACCTTTCCTTCCTTCTCGTCCCATCGCTACCTCCTTCTCCTCCATCCTCCTGCTGCTGTGGCTTCTCCTCCCACCTACTGTTCCTACCACCCCATTCTTTGCCTCCTCATAGCTGCTCCTTACTTTTAAAAAATGTCTAGTTGTATAGGGCTGCTAAGGTAAAGGTAAAGGTTCCCTTGCTCGAAAGCCAGTCGAATCTGACTCTAGGGTTGCAGTGCTCATCTCTGTTTCAAAGCCAAAGAGCCAGCGCTGTCCGAAGACGTTTCCGTGGTCATGTGGCCGGCATGACTAAACACCGAGGTGCACGGAACGCTGTTACCTTCCCACCGAAGTGGTACCTATTTATCTACTTGCAATTTCTTGCTTTCGAACTGCTAGGTTGGCAGGAATAGGGCTGCTAGGAAACCCCATAATGCAGACTGTGATCTTCCAAGATCTTTTCTTACCTCTCAGATAGCAAAAACCAATAGATATGTGCTCAGGTAGTACAGGTACACTAGTTTGCACTTCTCTCATTGGACTGGATGTATTTTAACAATTGGGTAAGAATACTGGTCTGCCAAAGTCAGTACTGTCTACTCTGACAAGCCATGGCTCCTCAGGGTTTTAGGCAGAGGGCTTTCACATCATTTGCTAACTGATCCTTTTAATCTTGCCAGGAACTGAACACAGGACTTTCCATATGCAAAACAGATACCCTGCCACCAAACCATAGACCCAGTCCACCCATTTGCAATTTTGCTTGTAAAAAAACAAAGGTATTTTTAATTTTAAAATGTCCATTTGCCATATGCTACAACTTTATATGCCCTGATAAGGACATTTTAGCTGGCCACTTTGTGGACAATGGCTTAGGCAATCTTGGATTTATTTATTTAATTTATACCCCATCGTTTCCCCAATGGGGACCCAATGTGGCCTACATCATCCTCCTCTCTTCCATTTTATCTTCAGTATGAGGTAAGTTAGGCTGAGCGTGTGTGACTGGCCCAAGATTACACAACAAGCTTCCATGGCAGAGTGGGGATTTGAACTTGGGTCTCACAGATCCTAATCCAGCACTTTAACCACTACTCATCACTGGCCCCCAGCTTGGTGTAGTGGTTAAGAGTGGCAGACTCTAATCTGGAGAACCAGGTTTGATTCCCCATTCCGCTACATGAAGCTGGGTGAGGGTTAGTTACAGCTCTCTCCGACCTACCTCACAGTGCTTCTTGTGGGGAAAGGAAGGGAAGGTGATTGTAAGCTGCTTCGAGACTCATTCAGGTAGTGAAAAATGGGGTATAAAAACCAACTCTTCTTCTTCTTCCCAATGGGTCAATGAGTGCTGGCTATGGTTACTCACTAGTGAGTAAAAACATACTCTGCATTCATATCTTTAGGCACTCCCTCCCCCATCTTGTTATAATATTCTGAGCTATGCTTCAATTTAAATTCTCGTCATATCTTGACACTTTTTTGTTGGCTTCCTTCCTCAGAAACCACTAGTTCTTTTCAGACATTACAATCACATGTACAGGGATCCCACCAACAGCAGCATTTATTTATTTATTAAAACATTTATATCCCACCTTTCCTCTTGGTCCAAGGAAGCTTACAATAATAGCTAAAACATCCACACCTGAAATCAGCGATAAACTATAAAGCCCCAAATCTCTCCCCTCTCCCTCCCTTAAAAGATGCCTGCCACTCAAACTCCCTCAAAAGCCCTGGCAAATGGATAGGCCTTCTGCAGCTCCTCCTGAAAATCTCTAAGCATGTGCTTGCCATAATTCTGCTAACACACATGGTCCCCAATTTGTATGAACAGGGCACCACATGGATTTCCCATGCACATACAGCTTTGAAGCTGGGCTCCTAGTCTGCATGATTGTATCATCTGAACTTCTTACATAAGCAGATACGTTCGTATAGAATCTGGAAAGCCACAGAAGATTATTACCTGAAAACATCCAATGCAATCCAGCTTTTACAATTCAAATGAACATATAAACCTGCTTCCTAGTGATGCAGACCATCTAGCCCACAACTGTCTGCTCTGACTGATGACAGCTTTCCAAGCAGATGGCTTTCTCTCAGCCCTACTACCTTTGACAAATACAGATGCCTGGAATTGAACCTGAGATCTTCTTAGTGCCGAACACGTGTTCTGACACTTAGCTACATCCCTTCTCTATAGCTTCATGATTTGTGTGTGGGAGTGGGGGGGGGGGATCTCAGTCCCTCTGATGCGGCATTCACATCAAGGGAGAGAAGCCATATTCTTAACCAGACATATTCTTAACCAAAAGGAGTATTTTGTTTCATTTTTGCCTATTTCTAGGCTTGGTAGCAGGGAGACAGACGCTTCCTTCTGGCACAGCCGAGTTTTGGCTCACTGACTACTGCATTATTTATGAGAAGCTACACATCTAGAGATTAAACATTTGCTGATTTGTCAAAAGCACAAACATGAGGTCCTGCCCATCTCCTTGACATATTAGTTCATCCAACGGAAAACACTGTCACACTTTTAATTGATGAGTACACTTTCTTGTGACCCAGGTAGCTTGCTCCAGTTTCTTTTTTCTTTCTTTTTTAAAGGGTGCCTTTGTACATGGAGGAGGCAAATAAGAAACACAAGCAGACATTCTCGCAGAGGACTCAAGGTTAATGATTCTGCAAGGAGGCCAGGTTGATGGAATGGGGAAAAAAAAGTTGTACAAAACAAAGAGGTCAACACCTGATACCTTAATATAATTTCATCAGCAATTAATAAAAGCAGATTACAGTACAACAGCACTTCGGCCTTTAACTTCCTAGGAATAACAGATAATTCTTAAATAGTCTTGAAAGTTGTCTTGTTGCAGAGATTTATTTGTTCTTACCTCTCTCTTTCACATAGATAAAATTCATATGCTAAGGGCTGTCTGTTCTATGCTTGCTTCCTCCAGTACATAATTTGGCATTTAGTGCAGAATTTAATCCATCTAGTACATTTTTATCTCACCTTTCATCTAAAGTACTCAGGAAACAGGGTTGCCAGCCTTGAGCTACCTACATCTGGGAACATTTGGGGCAAAGCCGAGGGAAGGGAAGTGTTGCTCAGAAGTGACATCACAGCATCCATGATGCTCTAGGAATCTCCCCCAATATCTATGGTAAAGACCACAGACATTGGGGCAATTCCTAGAGTGTCGCAGATGTTATGATCTCTCTCCCTCCCATTTTTTTCTCCCACTGCTCCACAGGACAAGCATGGGGCATAAAGTACATGGGTGGCAGCTTGCCTGCCATAGGCGGGCAACTGGCAAACCTACCAGGGCATCATGTATGGCACATGGTTCTTCCTGCCCTTATTTTATCCTCAGAACAACCCTGTGAGGGGATAGTCTGAGACAGAGTGAGTGCCCCAAGATCACCCAGTGAACTTCATAGCGGAATCGGGATTTGAAACTGGGTCTCCCAGGTTCTGCTCCAGCACACTAACCATTACACCATTCTGGCTCTCTAATCAACAGCAT